ATAAATTTTTGAATCCTAAAAGTTGTTTGATTGTCCAGGAATTTGCTTTGATATTAATTACATTCGAAATTGACCAAGTTACTAATAACAACATGTTTAACTGTAAAATAATTCTTTTAGTAACGTACAATCAAAAATTTATATAAATTGCTCTCTAAATATAGACGTGAACCGAAGAATTCAAATAAGGGTGCGTTTCCTGGTAATATGATTGACTGTTTACTTTGTAAAAAAAAATATATATATATATATATTATGTCCAACTAGGTACACATGGATTGTTGTGACTACTAGAAGTGTTCTTTTCATTAATTATGAATTTTCTTGTAATCATAGCATCTTATATATTGTTTATCCTGTACTGGATGTAATGAGCTTCATATTGGTGAAACAGGTAATTTTCGTTTAAGGATGAAATTACAATTACACAAATGTCACTTAGAATATTTTCAGTCAGATCCTTTTCATGATTGTTTAATGACTTCTTTTTTATTTTTTAATGAACGCTATCATAGTCTAGTAAACGAAGTATGGGACTTTGTTTTATACATAATATTAGATCGTCTCTTAATGCGTCTTTAAGATATAGAGGTCTCTGATTACACGTACAAGTAACACAGCAAATGTATTTCTTTCATTTTTTTTTACATAAGTTTTATAAGGGAAACGTTCTGTTTAGGCTATATTGTGTCTTGTATGGTGGGGTGTTAAAAATATGGGATAAAATCCGTTTGTAGTTATGCACAAAGCTACAAATAGGCTTTTCATACTCCGGCCTCCACGGGTATCGAAACCCGGTTTCTAGCGTTGTAAGTCCGTAGACATACCAGGTAGCCGAGATGCAATTATGTGAAGTAGACTACTCAGCCTAACACACCTCAGTTGTAACGAACATATGCTAGTTATTTCGTGATTCAATTTTTAATTCTTTATTGACGTACAAGTTTTTAGGTATTTTTTCTTTTCTCCAAAAACGTTATCCCACTAATAAAGTGCCCTCTTTTGTTTAAAAAAGGAATCATATCTGCCCTGAATACTCTCATGGACTACTGTGACATTAACATAAGCAATTAATTGTTGAACGTTTGTGACATTTCCTACAAATTATCGATACCCTCTTTTTTTTATATATATAAATATGGGTAGTTGAGTTTCATGTTTAAAAATGGTATTATTGGGGGTGAATGTAATGAACATGTCTACAACTGAGCTGTTATCCACTGATAAGTCTTTGACAATTTAAAACGTTATTTCTTATTTGTGTTAACGTGGTTCAAACGAACGCAATTATATTGGCTCTTTAACTCAACGCGAACCTTTTTTTATTAATAAAGGTGCATTTTTGGAGAGAGAGATGACTTACACTAGTAAATCTAGTCGAGACAGAGTGTCTTGTACAGGTACATCTAGTTGAAAAATGGTTCTTGTACACTCAGATGAAATCCAGTTCAGTAAATGTAACCAAAACTACAGCTCTTACAGTAATTATACCAACATTTGAAGTAAATCAAGTCCAAAAAGTGGTAAGTGGAGGTATTGCCATAGTTTGATCAGGAAAGTAATTTTGCACAAATGATCACACACAGCCAACATGAAGCTAGTCTTATTGAACAAGGCTTATGAATAGATTAATTGCCAAACTCTTCTTTTGATTCTGTTGCTTTCATTCCCAAAGTAGTTAATAGTTGCTCAAAAAGAACCAAACACGTGGAATAAATAAAAATGTTCCAAGAGCTACTCAAAATCATTATGTTACATCAATTTAGAGTAATTCCAGAATATTTCTGTACAATACAATGCTCAGATCTTCCATGCATATTATCTGGATTTAAAACATTTTACGGATAAAATGTTTGTGTACTGTGCAGTTGTGGATCTTTGTTAAATTTTGCTGTAAATTACACTTTTCCTGGTTATTCAGTCCATTGTCTTGACAGAACCTTTGGAAACGATGGTGGTCTCTGTTTTATGATTAAATGCGCTATATTTCCCCCTCCATAGTTATACAAGTTTCCGGTCCGTTGGAAGCAGTGGATATAAGCATTTCTCAAGGGTTCTCTTCCTCGCATATTTTTAACTTCTCTAGCTCTTGAAAATCTTTTAGAATCTACAATCTTCTCTGTTTTCCTTAGGATTCGACTTCAAACTACAATTTGTTTAAAATATTTTATAAAATGCACATCATTTTCTTTGGATTCTGATCATATTGATTGTAATGGCGACTCTGGTTTCTTTATTTTTTTGAGGAAAAAGACTGATTCTTCTGAATGACAGATAACCTAATCATTTATATTTTCATTCTAGTAAATTTTCCTCTGACTATACACCAAAGTAGACAGGGCGGAAACTGCACGCTGAATGTTAATACTGACCCCATTAGCATTAATCATTAGTGTTTCCGAGTATTCCAGTCGCTGTTAAAATCCATACCTCTCGTCATTTATTCAGTATAAAAGTGGGTTGGGTTTTGAGCCACTGTGTATGTAAATCTTACTTCAATACTACCAAGGAGGTAGTATTGCTGATCGTTTTAGGAAAGTTTATACGAAACAGCAAGACTTCTAATCCAATACTTCTCTGGATAATTATCAGTATTGGATCACTTGGTTTGTTTGAAGTTAAGCACAAAGCTATAAAATGGGATATCTATGATCTGCCCACCACGGATATCAAAACCCGGTTTCTAGCGTTGTAAGTCCGCAGACATTACGCTGTGCCACTAGGGAGCCACGTGGTTGGATGCTAATTGCAACAGACTAGTCGCTGTTCGCCATTATTTCTCTTAAGAAAATGTACAGGTTTGCCGTCTCTCCTCTGCGAAAGATAACAGATATATTCGATCTCGGAAAAGAGCAATCTGGAGAGTTTTCAGTTCTACTACAAATAAATGAATGCCAGTTTCCAGAGTTTAGGATACTTTCTATGTTTCAACCGTGTTTATCACACATCTCAGCTTGTTAGCTCCACAAGAAACATGTAAAGTTTTTTCAATACATTTCTTTTGTAGTCAGTACCAGAAAAACACTGAATGAGCACAGTTGGACTTCACTCAACACTGAAGAAACTGATGAAGATTCCTCAATGTGTATAAAACGCCTTTTAACCCAGAGATAAGTATGAATTGCTTTTATACAGCAAGACATACACCATCAGTTACTATTTACTAAGACACTTGCCTAAAAAGATGCTATTACAGAATTTTTAGCCGTGGCATAGCGGCTCACAGAATGGCTGTTTTTTTTTGTTGTTTTTTTCAAATACAAACGTTTAGCTCATAGCTCCGTCATATCTTTACCGATTTGAGATCTAATTGCATTTTTGAACTCAGGAGGTCAAACCCTTTTGATTGATGTATTTGACCACACACACAAGGTCTCATAGATTAGTTTACTCTAATCCTGCCTAAAATAATTTCAATGTGAGGGTAGACTGGTAGAGATCCTGATGAGTAAGAAAACTGAATCGGAAATACGCGCGCCCCACGCTTGGTATTGCTGGGCGCACAAAAATATAGCTAATAAAAAAGGAGCAAAAATAGGTCTTATACATTAATTTACTCTAATCCTGCCTAAAATAATTAAGTGCCGCGGCTATTGAGTATTCACTCTTGTTTATCAAGTACAAAATTTCAGCTCATGGCCGATTTAAGATCTATTTGCAGCCGCGGCTATTGAGAATTCTCCCTTGTTCTGTTAGAAGCTATGGTTCCTATTCGGAAACTATAAGTCGTGTTATTTTTTTCATTGTATTTTTACTTTATAATTCGAATGGCTTTATATCATTCTCCTTGGCCCCAGTGGCATAGCGGTATGTCTGCAGACTTACAATGCTAGAAACCGGTTTCGATACCCGTGGTGGGTAGAGTACAGATAGCCCACTGTGTAGTTTAATAATAAACAAACAAACACTTTATTTGACATTTTGGACCTTCTTTCACCATGAAAAAATTATTAGGAACTCAAAACTTTCAAAAACAATTTGATTTTTTTATTTATTGGAAGCTCCAAGCCCTACGTTTTCAAGTTTTTAAAGTTGAAGTTATGTATTTTGTGATTTAAATCATATCACTTTATTTGGCTTCCCTTTCTTAAATAAAATTATATTTTCCACTTTCTAAATTTTTAGATTGTTCAAGATATATTTTAAACCAAAAAATTTGTATTCAGAAATAAACGAAACTGGAACACCGAGTCATCGAAAATCGAAGGACAGGTCTATTCAAATCGTCAAGTTTCATCACTTTGTTACAGGTGAATGCAAATGCAGATCTTTTGTGAACCATTTAATTTGGATTATATATATATATATATATATATTGTTACATATCTGCTTGTTTGTTTGTTTCCGGTAGAAATTCTTTCCGAGTATCTTGAGCGATACAAGTCCTTTCTTGATTGAACCAGTTTATTCTTCCTCGATACAAACTTTTAGTACACAGTAATTACACAATCAGTACGTTTCTTGTCACTTTAAACTTAACAACTTTTATAATAGTGAATCGCTATAAATCACAGCGATTCACAATTTCGATAACTTCGCTCTCGACGAGTACAAAACACACACTTTATTATTCCCTGTTGGCTTTCTCTGCTAGGCTTTTATACTAAAGAAGAGGGAGTCTCGAATAAACTCGGTCTTCCCCGATAATTCGAGAAACTTCACACACGCTACCAGCACCACGTGACTTCCGCTGTCGTAACACTATATATAATCATTATCTAGCTTCAGTCACATCCTAACCACGCACCACGAAACAACGGATAAGCCAAATAGCCAAAACAGTGCTACTACGTGTAATCAAGACTGCTTAAAAAAACTAACTAAATAATCTCATAACAACAGAGAAACGAAAAAATGATTATCAGTCAGCACTTTAAATAGTCCATTATTTTACTAGAAAAATATACACAACGTATACATTTTAATTTCTGTAGTTGCTCTTCTAATTTTAAAAGTAGCAATTTGAAAGTTAAAGCAAACAAATTTATACAGAAACTTACCAGTTGTAAGTGTGTTAGATGACGTTTCCACCAAAGGTGCTTCTGCATGTGAGGTCCTAAAGCCGCTAGACCGTAGTAGGAATACATGATCACGTGGACAAAAGAGTTCAAGAGAGCAATGAAGAAATCTGAAAGATGTGTTAATAACCTTCATTAAAGTAAAATAAAACTATTTCTAAAAGCATAATAACCTAACTTTTAAGCCAAATTTTACATATAATGTTATTCTCTGTTAGTTAAAATGCTTGGAAAATCAAGTTAATGGCACTTATGACTCTGATTTTATATACTTATATTACCAAAGAACTTTTACAACTGATTGTGTAATAAAAATATTAAATGGTGATAACTGGTAATTCTGTGTAATCGTTACAATTACATATGGGTAAATGCACTGTATAAAAATATTTGTCTAAGTTAATGCAGTAGTATCTTGTTGCAGATATGAGCCATGTCATTACGTCTTTATCACTTTTATATATTTAAGTCACGGGAAGTTTTCGACTTAACAGTATCACCACGGTTGACTCGTGGGTGGAGAAATAACAACAAGTATTTTCGAACTAAAATATCCATAAAGCATCAATATTAAATGACGTAGAGCCAAAAGACGCATAACTTCCAAGAAAGGGGTCATCAGTATTTTCCCATGCAAGCGAAAAAAAAGGTGCATAGCAGGGCTTTTAATACGGCAATGGGTTCCAAGACTACACTTCGAGCCAAATAAGAGCGAGCGATCTCCTCTTCCAGAAAGTAAAGGCTGCTATCATAAAAAAAAAGAGCCCTCCAACCCAAAAACTATTATAATCCAGTTAGGCACATCGTCTTGTAAAAAAAAGAAAAAAAGTTGACATATGTTTACAAACTTCAAATCATACCTTAAAATAAAGTTGTTTCATGAATAAGATATGTATAGAAACTAGAAACATAGCAATCCCTTTGGATCCCAAGTACTTCTCATGCAGCCGGATGTAACTGAGTGAATTTGTGTTGTTTTTTATTTTGTTTAAATGTGGTCTTGAAAGGAAATTTGTGATTTAAGATTGAGCTCGCAATTCTACACAAACGTTTGATACATTGGAAAGTGCGGTGCTGGGCAATAATACGTAATGACGCCTATCAGAACGAGCACGGTTGATAATGGAATGCATAGTTTCAAGGGAAGTTTGCGACCTGTATTATCAATTTTTATAAAATTTAATTACTCTCACATTTGTAAGCGTCGTGACTAAATACTATTTTAAAATATAAACTTTCAAAACTTTAAAATTATACATTTCCTACTATAATGTTAATTATTAAAATCTCCATTTTTTATCGCGTATCAAATAAAACTAATAATAAGAACTATAATAATCAAGTTACAAACTTTGTCCACCGGGAGCATATTTGACGCTAAGCCATGTATTGCAAACCATGGTGAAGTGGTGATAGCAGTGTAGAAAAGTAACCTGCGAATTTTTCTTACGAAGTATTAGAAATACCTAAAAGGAAAGACAGATAAAAATAAGTTTTATGATTTATTAAGACAAACTATGTGTTTATATTTTTCTTCTGACTTTTAGAGAAAAACTATTAGAGAATTGGAACAAAATTGTAAATAAGAAATCTAACTGACACTCGTATGTTATAAATCTTCAAATTCTACTATTTCACGAGTGAACAATATTTACAAATAGCCTGAATAGTTTTACTCTCTTTCGTTAAGTTTGATGAATGGAGAAAGCAGAGAAGGAAACATTTTCAACGATTTATACAATTATAAAAAAAAAATTTAAATTCATACTTTATTTCTAACTTGTTGTCAGAACAATTTCAGATATTACATAATTTAGCATTTTATAACAGCAATGTTATATTATTAAGACGACACCCCAAACGATTCTAAGATTACTAAAATCTAAAAATCAGGAAATTTATAATAGTACAAACTGTTTATGTATTGCTAATGTACTATCAAGTATTTTTGATAGTAACGATCGTCGATGGTGACATCTATGTTGAAGAAAGTAAATTAGTATTATTTGAGTAGGATTTCTCTTCAAAACCAATAGAAGCAACATATATTTCACAAGTCACATAAAGAAAGAACTATATGCGCAAAATTTCTATATCAAGAAGTAGTAATAATGAGTTTAATGAATCAAGAATAAATTATAAATCAATGGTCAAATCACCATTGCAAGAGTAAATTAATTTTCAAAATTAATAGTTACCGTATCCATCAGCTCTAAAATCTTGGAAATATGGAACCACCACATAAGACTTGCCATCTGCAAGTAAAGAAATGGAAATATAAGATTAAACAATTGACATCTCACTATTTATTCCAATGGTCTAAGAATGTCTATTGAAACGTTGTTTGTGAATTTAGGCCTACAACTTGTGCTAAATGAACGCAGCCTGTGGTAAACGTTGTTGAAAAAAAAACCAACTAATTCGTTATTTTTACTGACTTAGCATTACTTTCACCAAATAATCCAAAAATAACCCGTCCAATGACAGAACACGTTACAACGATATCTCAGAATTTTTTACTTAATTTCTTTCGAATGCAACTAAAAAGAAAGAGAAAAAGTTTACAATGTAACGAGTAAAAACTCAACGTTGTGCTCAGAATGACAGCCAAATAAAGTTTAATTTTTTTTCAACAGGTGGCTCTGAGAAATATAATATTTCAAAACTTTATAATAATTTAAAACAATTAAATTTTATTATCTTTTACAGTTTAATACCATTGGTTTATTAGCTTGTAAGAGAATATATATTTTTTAAATATCTACATTTAGTCTGAATATGTAATATTAGATTATAAAGTTGGGATTATCTGTATTTAACATTAGAAACAGGATAAACTAAATGTTGATTATTTACGTTTAGTCATAGAAAAATTGCAGAATTATGTAATGAAATAAATTCAATCCGAGATATTTATTCAAGATTATAACATTAATATTATCTATGTTTACTCTGAATAAAATATAATACAAAATATAAATGTTGGAGATTATTCTCTTTAAATTTAATGTCAACATTATAAAAAACTTCAAACCCTCAAAATAAAACCTTAGTTTGGCTGAATTCTTTTTTTTTTTTTCGTTTTTAAATGTGTTTGCTAATGCCTTTCAGGAATACTAAGGTAACGGGGTATTTTTAAACTTAGTTTTCCTGGTTAATAACTACTTCATAGAAAGTGGTGATAAGTTTTTATAATTTGCACAGAAGATTGTTTCGAGAGATAAGACCTTTTGTTTATTTTACAGGTTTCAAGGTATCACAGAAAATATTTTACTTCTGTTTCAAAATGTGGCGTTTAACTGTTTATTTTTTTTAACCACCACATTAAGAACTATTCCATAAGCAATAGGCGAACAATAATACTGACAGGGAGTTTGTATTTTTGTTGTTAAACGCAAAACGACACAATGGATTATTTTTGCTCTTCCTACCGTGAGTACTGAAATCCATTTTCTAGCGACACAAGTCCTCAGACTTGACGCTGAGCCACCTGTGAGCCAGAGAGTTAGTAAACAAGCGACTATTGACTGGCTAAGATTCACACCGTTCCTGGTGAATGACCTTCGAGTTGAACTTCAAGTAATACTTTTTTTCTTCCAGCTACACATACACGAATCTCAGTGCTCGTGTTATGTTCCTTGACCCAAATGATTTAGGATATCGGTGGCACTTAACTTTTTTGCTACATTTTTTTTATATCATAATAATTATAAAATATTTTCCTGGAGAATTTGAAACGAACGCAACGTGAATGTAACTAACGTTCAATAGGCGTACACACACAAAGAAAGACTTGTTAAAATCATATTAAAATAACTTAACTGGAAGGTCAGTAAAAAAGTTACTATCATGAAAAACGATCCGTGAGAAACTTAAAAAAAAATGTTTGAACAAAGATTGCCAAATTATGAAAAGATGGTAAAAAAAAAATCTTACCCTGAAAACACGAGGATGCGACGTTTTCTCTACACCTTGACATATAATGTTGTACTTGGACTCAATGGCTGAATGAAATATCTGAAACAATTGATACAAAATATCAGTACAAATATTTCAGAATTTTAATTCTGCTTCACTTCAAACGTTAAAAACTAATTCTATACATTGAGACCAACTTGTATAATATGATATATATATCTGGAGAAAGTGTGCACGCATATTTGGATATTATATAACATTTATAAATACTGTTG